GTATATTAATTTTGAATATCATAAGCCAGCAAAACGCTCACTCACATTTCAATGGTAAAATACAAGCTTACAGAGCCTCATATGTAATACGCTGGGTGTACTCTCTGGGTGTACCAAAATGGCGCCCACGCCAGAAGTGACTTCACCATGTCTCCGATTACGGGTCTAAAATAAGGTATTTCATGAAAATGTATTGGGTTCACTTAAAAATTACATTAGCATGTTGATGGGGTGAGGGTGGAAAGGAAGGCAAATTATAAGTGGTGAGCACAGAGAAACACACATGTGAAAGAACAGCAAGGAGGAGTACCTCTTTGCAGAGTCCTGATTAGGAATTCAAGCATCCACCTAAGAGGAGGAAGAATTTTGCTCTGCACCCTTGAGGAAAGGAAAGGCCAATCCACAGTGACCAGACCTGTTTCTTCTTGACCGAGGATCCATGAGCTTTTGATATATACTGCTTATATATATCCGCCTTCTGGTGAGAGAGCATTTCTGCTACTTCCTCACGGATCACCATTGTGGATTTCCATTTGTCACCTGGCACGTTTATATGAACTGGACTTACAGTGGACAATTTTCAGATTTATTACTTAGCGCTGCACTTTTATTTATATTATAAGAGGATTAAATTTCAGCTTTAAATCCACGTATCTCTGTGCATCTTGCAGTGAGCGGGTGTAAAAAAAGATAATTTGTCTACTACACCCATCCCAAAGGATTTTACATCTGGGGATCTTCTCAACTAATTTAAATGAAATTTATGTAGAGCGTAAACAAAGTGCTAGGAGAGATGTAACTGTGGTTAAACTTGGCAGACGAAACTAAACAATCCCAGAATCAAATCTTCAATTTCTAGGCCCCCGATGGAGGAACCTTTCAGGCTGTGAAGGTACTTAGAACGCTAAGATATACATCTACATATCATAGCTTGTTTTACAATACAAATGATACAACATGATACTGTAAACAGAGTCGGTGTATTTAAACTAAATGGTCTGTAACGAAACCTCTTGTTCCGTGAATCATTTTCTATAAGAACAAAGATGTGAGTCCGGAACGGCTCCCATAATCCAAGTTTTATGTTACCAGCCCTTTCCTTGGCAAAACCCATAGCATAACAATAAGGCATTCAATCAGAAATTGCAGCTTTGGAAACACAACCAAATTATAGTTCGGAGGATGAGTGGCGTTTCGGGCCTTCCCCACAAGCTATGATTTTAAATTAGAGCGAATATCTGCTCTGGAATGTCTTATGACGAGATGGAATGTTCAAGGTCAAATCGGCAGATCGCAAAGATAATATCACCGGGCTCTGCTCTATGGCATCATTATTTGTCATTTCACTAACATTTGGGGGAATGGAAATGGGGACTTAATGCTACCCTGTACAGGTTCCTGAAACAATAATGAAGCTTGAAGTTGAATTTTTTTTTTGCCTTTTTATTGAAGAAACATTTCAGGATACGTCCCAGAAGTTGCTGAAAAGGAAAGTATGACATATCTAAGCTTTTTTATTTATTTTTTTTTAGATATATGAGTGTGGTCAGCTTAATGTGAATAAACTTGTCAACATGTGCTATTGTTTTAAAAAGTCTTATCTTAAGGTTTTAACCTTGCCTTAATATTGGAGCAGACTACAGGGGTGGACTGACAACTCATGGGCCCCCCGGGCAATAGGGGATCATGGGGCCCCTGTGTCCTCGCCCACACTCAAACCACACCCAAAAAAGCCTATGAAAGGTACCAGGGGCCTCTCATGGGGCTGCCTACTGACCCTGGGCCCTCGGGCAGTGCCCGAGTTCCCGAATGGTCAGTCCTCCCCTGAGCAGACATTGTTTATTGGCAGGATCTGCTTTGTGCTTAGTAGTAATGAGCTTGGGTTCAGTCTTATCTGGGTTCAGTACGAACCTGGAAGGCAACTGTCAGTGCCAGACCAATGAGCTGTGAGCTTGGGATTTCTTGCACCTCAGCTGCATGCGCACAAAGGGGGAGGATGATCATGACATCATTGACCTAATGTGGACACATGGCCAGTTTAGGTCAAGGTCATTGATCTATATGATGTCACAAGCATCCCTACCCCTTTGTGTACATGCAGCTGTGCAGCAGGGAATCCACTACCAGCAGATCATTGGTGTGGCATTCAACCCAAGCTCATTCCTAGTGCTTAGTAAAACTGGGCAAGCAGTGTGATTTCCTGCTTATTCATCACATTGTGTAGTTCAGGACTATAGATTGGGCCCTAAAGTAATAGACTCTCAGTAACGCTAACTGAGCTTGCCAGTCCTTAACTCCTTGGAGCCGGTGCCTCCCAGCCCTTTAAGGGTTTCAGAAGCTGGGAGGCGGGATGGGGTTTTAAGGTCACCGTCTCGGTGGTCACATGATCGGGAAAGGTCCCGATCGAAAGAGGAGATCGGGACCTTTCCGTGAGTACCGGACATGTGTGCTAGGAGCGCGCAGGGCGTGCGCTCTCAGCACATATGTTTTTCCTAATTGCACACAAATGTGTGGCCGCTCGGCATCAAGGCCCAGATGCCGGGAGGCCGCACATTTGCATGCAGCCAGCGCGAAGAGGTTAAAGTATACTAAACCCAGTTACATGGGCTGATCGGATATGATAGGGGGGGAATGATCAGGGTTGAAATAATCTGAAAACTGAGCATGTGCATTAGCTGCCAACATTGCTCTGCAACATTCCCAACTGCAGTAGGGACAGAAGAGGGGAGACAGAGAACAGCAGGCTCAACCAGGTTTTTTGCAGAATACAGAAAATGAATTCCATAGTGACTGAGTGAGTATGAGCAGCATGTGATACCACATTTACTGATTTTACTGAGTTTTAAATGATGTGGGTTTACTGACACTTTAAAGCCCAATCGAACCTTCAGTTAAAATCAGCTAAATACTTTCCATATGCATCGAAATAAATCGTGGTCAATGTCTTCCTGTTCATTTTCTTTCTAAAGCAGATACAGCCTGAAAATAAAGGCCTGTCCCCTGCCAACTTGCACAGAGAGCGAGGTTCCAGCTCTGCAGCTGCTGGCAGGGGGCAGGCTTTTTTACTTAGGCTGTTACTTCTATAGGAAGAAAATAAACAGAAAAACATTGAACACATTTTGTTTCAATGTACCTGGTATGTAACCAAAAGGCTTTAATCTCTTCACGCCGGCCGCACATAAATGTGCGGCCTCCCAGCGTCTGGGCCTAGACGCCGAGCGGCCACACACATTTGCGTTCTATTAAAAAAGGACATATGTGCCAAGAGCGCGCGCCCTGCATGCTCCCAGCACACATGTCCGGTACTCACGGAAAGGTCCCGATCTGCTCTTTCGATCGGGACCTTTCCCGATCATGTGACCAGGGGCGGACTGACAACTCATGGGGCCCCCAGGCAATAGGGAATCATGGGGCCCCTGTGTCCTTGCCCAAACTCAAAAAAGCCTATGAAAATGGTACCAGGGGCATCTCATGGGGCCCCCTACTGACCCTGGGCCCTCGGGCAGTGCCCGAGTTTCCAAATGGCCAGTCCGCTCCTGCATGTGACCCTAAACTCTGCCCCGTCTCCCGGCTTCTGGAACCCTTAAAGGGCAGGGAGGTGCCAGCGTGAAGGGGTTAAAGAGACACTGTCTCCTTGGTAATGCAGGGCAAAGTGACAGTTCTTTACAAAAGGAGCCCCTAGCCCTTTTACACTCAATTTGCCAGAGTTCCCTTGTCTCTTCTTCCCTCATCACAGCCAGCCCTTAACTGATATTCTACCCTCTGTACAAACCTCATAAAATAATCCTCCCAAATGGTAATTCCTCATTTCTATGTGGAATTAGACATAAAACCAGTGGCGTCCCTAGGGTTGGTGTCACCAAGTGCGATAACACTTGGTGTCACCCCTCCGAAGAATCCCGCAGGATGGATCGAATTGAGCATAATGGATTGGAGTTCGATCTGTTATGCTCTCCAATCAGCAGATCCGATCCATCCTGTGGGGATCATCCGCTTGCAACCTATACGGGGTTAACTGATCTCTCCATGAAAAGGTAAGTTTTAAAGCAAGCCGACGATCCCAGCAAGATGGATTGGATCTGTGGATTGGGGAGCATAATGGATCGGAGTCTGATCTATTATGCTCAATCTGCAGATCCGATCCATCCTGTGGGGATCATCGGCTTGCTTAAAAACTTAACCTTTTCGTGGAGTGGGTCCGGTGTCACCCCGTGCGATAGGTTTCACCCGGTGCGGCTCGCACCTACCTAGGGACGCCACTGCATAAGACCAACTGCCACCCATTAACTAACTTCCTATCTAGTTGTTTAACGGAATACATATTCATAGCTGGACATTAAAATAATACTGTGTTCTGTTTCATACCATCATTATCTTTATGCTGCGATGTAATTGTAAGTGATGTTGCTTTCATTGACTGCATGTTGTGGCCCTCTAATTGTTAATTGCGTTCTCAATTAAAATATCATTAAAAAAAAAAAACTAAATTCTGGGCAAATATGTTACAAACCACCAGTGATTACAGTTATATATTTTTTTTTAAAATCCTTGTTTTAAAAGCAACTGGTATAAGTACAGTACCCCAGCAAGACTTAAAAGTGTTACTAACCACACAACAGTAAAATCAGTCTGTATATGCAGTAAAGCATGCTTGTTATACTCACTGTGGGACCTAAGGGGTTAATCCTCTGCATTGTGTAAAAAGGCTGTTTGATCCTGTCTTCTCTGCCCCTCCTCTTGTTCAAAATGTCCACATCTTACCTCCTGTTTTTTTTTTCTTGGGAGAGTGCATGTGATCAGCAAAGGGCCAATCAGCCCTGTCCAGACAGAGGTCAGGGGTCCTGCATCCTCCTAGAGCAGAAAGAAAACTCCTCCTACAAGCTTTAACCGGTGCTCTGCTGAACACTGATCGAAGTCACAAGACTGCTCTAATTGCTGATAAGAAAAGGTATTTAGCACATATATTTACTAAAATAATTGCACTTCCATGTTCTGTGTACTGTGGGAGACCAGATATAGTGAATGTAGGGTCCGGGGAGACCAGATATAGTGAATGCAGGGTCCGGGAAGACCAGATATAGTGAATGCAGGGTCCGGGAGACCAGATATAGTGAATGCAGGGTCCTAAGGTTTAGTAACACTTTAATTCCATCCTCTTGTAGCCCTCAGATTGATAGAGGGAAGAGCAGCAGTACATGGAGCCAATAAGCTATATAGTATGCACATATGCTGCAAAGTTTAGCTTAGACAAAATCCCTACAGCTTTAGTCCCATTACTTTGTAGCCAGGTAGCAGGATCCTGGAGAAATCTTCACGGCAGGAATGCCTGTCCTCTTCCTGTCTCAACTTCTAGAACTGCAATGGTTAACAGCTTTAGGTCTTCAGGCAGAACAGCAGTTCAGATGGTCCAAGGAGGACATACCCCCTTTCTACTCTCTCCTCCATTGAGAAAAGTTCTTTCATTGATTACGCTGCTTGTAATATGATATGAGAATTGGGGGGGGGGGGGGGGGGGGCGAGATTCTCCCTCATTCACAGATCATGTTGCAATGTAATCAAGGATAGAATTTTTCTCAATGGTAAAGGAGGAAGGAGAGGGCATGTCTCTGTTAGACCATCTCTACTGCTGTTCTTCCTAAAGACAAAGCTGATAACCATAGAAGCTTCAGAAGTTCAGGGACAGGAAGAGGACAGGCATCCCAACATTGAAGATTTCTACAGGATCAAGTTGCCTGAAAAACGCGGGGCATACTTCTCTACAGGTAAATGATGTGAATAAATCTGTAGGGATTTTTGTTTAGCTAAACTTCAGCTTTAAGCTACATGCTGACAGGAAGAGTGAATAGATAGATGACCTCATTAGTCTGTCGCTGATTCTTCACAGTGCAGTCACAGGCTGACCAAATTATATTAATTAACTGCAGCAGGGAAATGTTAGGTGACCAGGCTGGTTGTATGGTCTGGCGAGGCTGCGTAAAATTAAGGAATTTAATATTTGGCAGGTAAGACAACTCCTAAATATGCATTTCAGCTAAGTATTTAGTGTCTTCAAAATAATTTTAAAGTAAATGTTGAAAAAATAATTAAAGTATACCCACATTAAATACACCAACACAAAGCAAAATACAGATTTCTAACTCAGGTGTTCAATAGACAAAGGTGTCCAAAAACAAAACTTCATAGCCCAGGGTTGTAACTGGAAAGCAGGGAGAATTGATAGTTATGGATCAGGCCTCTCGGAAGTTTGGCCAGGTACCACCACAAATAAATAATGGAGGAGACTGTTTTAATAGAATCAGCTTCTTGAGCCTGTACCCTCCACTGACATCTTGGATCTAATACAGAGCTTCCTGTCAAGAAGTTGAGGGGAAGGTTACAGTAATTAACACAGGAAATGAAGGATGATGGCAATTTAAAGTATTACAGGATATCTTTGGACTTTGCCACATCTGGTATAAAATTTTGGGAAATAAGAAAATAGCTAAAAAAAAACAGGAATTTTTTTTTGGAAAAGAAACAAAATCTTACAACTCTTACAACTCTTAAAGCATTCAAGGCATTTTATATCCATTTATAGTAACAAACATTTTAAAAATAAACTACTTTAAAAGACTACTTGGCACCATACGCTGCCTGTCTGTACCCCATTACAGAAAAAAAAAAAAAAAAACCTCCCTGCATGCCACAGAATTTCCTATACAAATTCTGACTTTTGAGTCAGTATGTGTGTAGCGCTACCCTCTTGAGGGACACTGTGTTTCTAGGTCCCCTTAAGCACCACACAGCCAGGCAACACACATTCTCCACACTTGCATCCACAGACAGTGAACAGCCCTTGAGCTTGGTTTTTGTTATTTTATTAGGGGAAATAACTAGGATAGGGTAATAGGGATTATGGGATGCCCAACTTGACTGAATCAATGCTCAGGGACAACTGCCTTTCCATTTACAGAAACAGATCCTGAACTGTTCTTTTTCTTAAAAACAATAAGTCATTACATATCAGTAGCAGCTCCTTACAGGCTAAGGACTTGCAGTCCCTCTGAAAGTTTGCTTAGCATGTTGCAAACTACATGCAGAAGTATCTCTTCTCTTCTCCCTTGTAGAATTGCTCCCAGCTCAACAGCCTGCAGACACTACTAGCCCTCCTGGCTGCTCTGAAGATCTTCCAGGACAAGGATAGAGGGTTAAGCACAGCGCTGTCCTTTGGAAGCTTGCTACAAGTTACAGTCTCTCCGCTTGTAAATCCTTAGGTGTGCTAATATCCTCCTTGCTTCCACTACTCCCAGGCCTTGATCCTGTTCATGCCGCGATGCTGAATAGATCCTCCTGAACCAGCCCGAGCCCAGCCTGGAGGCCAGTGAAAGTTTCCTCAGAAGAGGACAGTGACAGCCGCCGACAGTGTCCTCAGCACTCCATCTTCCACCCGACTCCCCAGCCTAACTCTCCTATATTTATGGGTTTGTCTCACCACTTTATCAGGACCTCCAAACCCGGGATTGGTTAGACTCCCATAAACATGAAGATTAGATCTCCACCTCTTCTGCCCACTGGTTTCTGGAAGTTTCCATGGTCCTCCACAACCAGGTGGAGTCACAACCTGTTAAGCCATCCGGCCTGCCTGCAGTAACCCAACCTAATTCCGAACTCACACAGTTACTATGAGTCATACACAATAAATTTACCTACACTACCCTAGTAGCACACTAGAGGGTGCTAAATTTGCATAGTTTTCATCATCCCCCTTGCCTTTGGCTGCACCAGACCTAATGTTGCAATGCTCAACATGGATGATAGGTTGCTTAGACAGTGGGGACTGTATTGCTGTATGGGACAGGGGAAGTTCCAGTTCTTCATGGTATTTTAGCACATCTGGCATATCTTGCGTGGGAATTTGTGTTATATCAGAGGTACAGTCAGGCAGGTCATGGTGCCAATCTCTCAGCTCCATGGTTATCATTAACTATTTTTTGTGATAGCTATTTACTTTAAAGATTAAGGGGGCATTCTACTTCCCACTGACCACTAATGTTAGAGGACATTCCTTCTTTCACTGACCACTAATGCAAGTGGGTATTGTTTTTTTCATTGGTTAGGGTAAGGGTTATTTTTCTTTCTGCTAACCAGCAATGTAGGGGGATGTTTTTTCCCTCAGGCCACCAATGCAAGAAGTCATTGCTCCTCCCTTTGGCCACCAACGTAAGGAGATATTATTCCATCAATGATCACCAATGGAAGGGGGCATCCTTTCTTTCCAATGATGACCAACATAAGGGTCTATTCTTCTCCTATCAACCACCAATGCAAAGGAACATCCTTCTTTGCAATGACCACCAATAAAAGAGGACATTCTTCTCCTATTAACCACCATGTAAAAGGAACATCATTCTTTGCAATGACCACCAATAAAAGAGGACATTCTTCTCCTATTAACCACCAATGTAAAGGGGCATCCTTTCCAATGACCACCAATGAAAGAGGATATTCTTCCTCCCACTTACCACCAATGCAAGTGACTAGTGTTCTTTCCAGTGGCAATCAGGGTAAGTTGGTGTTCTTTCCACTGACCATTAACACAAAGAGATATTTTTCCTCCTACTAACAAACACTGGAAAGGGCAGTTTTCTTTTTTTCTTTCCCATTTACCACCAATGCAAGTTTGTTCTGTTGTTTACCTTCTACTGACCAGCAATGTGAAGGGACATTTTTTTTCTTCTGATCACTAATGTAAGGGGACATCCCTCTCTATTGTTACCAAGGGCTGCTTGCTTCTGATTTTGACTACATAACACCTCACCCTCTCCTCATCCCATAACACAGTGATGAGGTGTTCTGTAGTCCACAGAGGTGAATTGGTAAAGGCTGATAATATTGTTTGCAATTTCAGTGCAGCAGAGCAGAGTGTAGAGGAAGTTTGGAGCTCACTGGATTTCTGACAAGATCAACAGGTATTATTCTGACGGTTTTTAGACAGATGTGGTCAAATGTATATTTAAGTTATGTACTGAATTGTTTTTTTTTCTTTTTGTCAAGAAATTGCTTCCATTTAGTTAGAGAAGAAGCAATGTAAGAGAGATGTTACTGAATATGCAATCTGTTTTATATTATACCTTTCTGGCTTTGTATACATTGCATTCGCTGTATGGCTTTACTTGTTTCCAACAAGTGACCGTGTCATTGGAATCAGCCAGTAATGCAAAGTCTTGCTTATGTCAGGGCACTAATTAGAAATAATAAGGGCATATGGAACACTAAAATGAAAAAAAATCCACGTCCGGCATTTGTTTTCAAACAAGTGACCAGTGAGGCCTTTGATAATATACCTTGGCTGTCAATGTAAAATGGCCTGAACACTATAATGTACAGTACATTAGTGAGATGGAATGCTCACCCAGTACAGCTACCATTAACACTGACCTTTGAGTCTCTATGCAGCCTCCTGCCCATTATATAATTCATTTTATTAGAGGCGTACTAATAATAGGGTGTTATTAAACCCGCAGTATTAATTGCCCTATCAAGGGTCTGCTCTTGTATGCAGCTATAACATTACTTAGGGAAATTATGAGTTTATTGAATGTAGGAATGCAGCACTTGGTAAAAGAAATCACTTATATTGAAAGCACAATGTTTCCTGGCTGGAGATTAAAGGGGTAGAATAGTTTATTTCTAGACAGCATTTTTTCATTATGGCAGGGTTTCATGTGAATTCACGTTTTTAAAGGATCAGCCCACAATGACTCATCATATTTTGGTAGCTGTTGGAGAGTTAAAGTTGAACTCCAAAAATCAAAATTTTATTTTCTACCTGTTACTATCTCCTTCCTTACCTATGCATTTAATCCATATTTTTTTCTTTTCTAGATTCAACATACTAAATTTTCCTTGTTTTTGTTAGTACAGCTTGCACTGTACTTCTGGCCCTCTGACACCAGCGGGAAGCTATGACTGACACCAGCACTGATGTTGTATCTCCAGTTCTGTGTTTACTTTCCCATTCACAAATTCTAAATAATGAAAAAAAAAAAAACATAGATATACCTCCCTACATTCTGCGTTGGGTAGGAGGCACATATTATAGAGTAT